TAGCCTCAAAAAACACACACACACACACACACACACACACACACACACACACACACACACACACCAAAAAAGAAGGAAAGAAAAGAAAAAGAGTGTAGAGAGATGGCTCAGTGGTTAAGAAAACTGCCAGCTATTCCAGAGGACCTAAATTTGATTCCCAGTATCCATAAGGCAGCTCACAACTGCCTGTTAACTCTAGGCCCAGGGATCTAACACTCTCTTCTGGCCTCCATGTGTACCTACACATATTGTACACACACATACATGCAAACAAAACACCAATACATAAGAAAAGATGAAAATAATTAAAATAGCTAAGAATAAACCTAACCAAGAAGGTAAAAGACCTCCTACAACAAAAACTTTAAGTCTCTAAGGAAAGAGATAGATGAAAACATTAAGAGCTGGGAAGACCTCTGCACTTATGGATTGGTAGAATTAATACTGATTTTAAAAAAAGACCACTCTATCAAAAGCAAATTAGAGATTCAATGCAATCAAAATCCCCATTACATTCTTCACAGAAATAGAAAAAAAAGTCCTCAAGTTCATACAGAGCAACAAAAGATCCTAGATAGTCAAAGTAATCTTGATCAAAAGAATGGAGGAATAACCACACCAGATTTCAAGCTATATTACAGAGATATAGTGATAAAAACAGCATGGCACCAGTGTAAAAACCAACATCTAAATAGAAGACCCAAATGTGTGTGTACATGATTATGGTTATCTAATATTTGACAAAGATGCCAAAAATACACACTGGAAAAAAAGACACTTTCTTCTACAAATACTGTGGTGAAAACTGAATGTCCACATGTAGAAGAATGCAATTAGGCTAGTATCTATCATACTGCACAAAAATGAGCTTCAGATGCATCAAAGACCTCAATGTGAAACTTGAAATGCTGAAACCGATAGAAGAAAACATAAGCAGAATGTATAAGATATATGAGTAAGAAAGGATTTCTTGACTAGTACTACTTTTTACCCAGAAATTAAGGTCATCAACTGAAAAATAGGACCTCATGAAACTATTCGAGTATCTGTACGGCAAAGGAAACGATCATGAGACAGTCTACAGAGCAGAGAGAACCTTTATTAGCTAAACATCCTATAGATGATTAATATCCAGAATATGTAAAGACTCAAAAAACAAAGAATAAAAGTAACAAACCACCAAATTAAAACATGGACTAAGGATCAGAGCAAAAAGTTCTCAAAAGAAGAAAAAAATGGCCAAGAAATATCTTTAAGTGTTCAACATACTTAATAATTACAAAAATGCAAATTAAAACTATTTTTGATATTTCATCTTACCCAGGACAGAATGGCCAAGATCAAGAAAACAATTGACAACAAAGGCTAGAGAAGGTGTGGAAAAGGGAAACCCGTTCACTGTTGTAGAACTGCAAACTGATAGAGCCACTATGGAAATCAGTGTGGAGACTTCTTAAAAGCTAAAGTAGATCTAGCATACAACCCAGCTATACTACTCTTTGGCATATGTCCAGAAAGAAGTGAAATCACGAAATTTGCAAACAGATGGAACTAGAAAATATTACACTGAATGAGGCAACCCATACCTAGAAAGACAACATGGTTCTCCTTATTTGTGAATCCTGGAGAGACCTGCCTTTAAACCAGGAGAGTAAAAAAGGAACTATGGGGTGCAGGAGAGCGCTCTACAGAGTGAGATAGTAGGACATGGGTATTATGAAGGGGGACATGGGAAAATGGGGTTGGGGAGAGAAGGGAATACAGAGAAAGGACAGGAGGGAGGTTACATAAAACTAAGGATATTTGACTAAGCCATAGGGAAACACTATTTTACGTTTGCATACATCTACACATAAATATTTTATACACACATAAATACATATTTACAGTTTAAATGAAGTTATGACACTTGGGGTGAAAATGATCTCTCCAAGAACCATCCACAGACTTGTTAATGACATCCCAATGCTGGGTATGGGAATCCTCACTTCCAAGGGCCTCCAATAACATTATGTTACAGGCTATTTGCCCTTTGCTGTCTCCTAGAACTTAAAAGTAAGACCTTACTGCTGAAAACACCACACTTTGGACACAGGACTTGGAGGAACTGAGCTGGAATCGACTTGGTAACTTCTTCCCTGAGGAATACCTGAGGAATATTGGCCAAAGGAGAAAAGCAAGCCCTACCTATCTGTAAAGTCTATGGCCTAAAACAATGACCACCCTGGTAAGATATTCCCTGTGGCGCAACAGTGGCACTTATTGCTACTGGTAACTAACAGTCATCAAATCGGACTTAAGCCTTGCTTAAGGGAATTCATGCCTGATACTAGAAACTGAGTCAACAACCCATAGCTAATGAGGTCATAGACCTTACAGAAGAACCTACTATGGCCATTTTCCTAAGCCAGTATAATTTTGAACTGCATTCTAAATACTTATATCCATAGATAAGTATAGTTCTTGTTACTCATCAAGGCTTCTTTTTGCAGATGGAAACCATTACAGAGATAGTCACTACTGGTCAAAATGCAGACAACTGACTGTTGGGTACTCAATCCTAGTTGATATATCTACAATGCACAGGGAACATCATAGAATAAGGGCTAGAAAGATTCTATAATCTCTCTATTATAGAATTCATATATATTCATTATGGGAAGGATGGAAGGGATGCAAACACTGTACATATACACAAACAAAACTAATAAAAATGAAAGAGGAAGAAAGATTATAAATTTGAAAAGGAGTTGGAAAAACACAGGAGGAATTAGAGGTGAGAAAAAGGGGTGGAATGATGTAAAGACAGTATTTGTATGTGAAAGCCTTAAAAAACTTTTTAAATTAAAAGAGCCGGGCGGTGGTGGCGCACGCCTTTAATCCCAGCACTCGGGAGGCAGAGCCAGGCGGATCTCTGTGAGTTCGAGGCCAGCCTGGGCTACCAAGTGAGTTCCAGGAAAGGCGCAAAGCTACACAGAGAAACCCTGTCTCGAAAAACCAAAAAAAAAAAAAAAAAAAAAAAACAAAAACAAAAAAAAAAACAACAAAACTTTTTAAATTAAAAGATATTATGACAAGAGGAAACCTGAGTGTTTATAAAACTTAATTTCATGCTGCAAGAAAAATATAAAATAGCAATTCAGCTGATTATGACAAAGCTATACCTGGAAGAGTTAAGAACCCTTCCAGAGGATGAAGCCAAGTCTTAAGGAGTCATGGTGATATTAGCTTTTGAATATTAGCTGTTTCTTGCTATGAATTTCTCGTATGCTATGGTAGCTTTTCTATCATTCATTGGGCACAATTTCCCCTACACAATTAAAGTATTTGTATAACTTTCTGCAACTGTGCTACAATAGACACAGTTAAAATCCCTAATTTCAGGCCTTTCTGTAATTATTGTAATTAGCAGAATCTGGCCAGGACCATCCCTGGAAGGATGGATGAAAGTATCTTATCTGAGATATCTCACAGACTCTCTAAGAACACACTTAAGCATCCAAGCTATCTGTTTGAGATGGCCTGGCAGATGCGTTAATTAACTAATTAAGCTTAACCTTCACCTTTCCAAAGTCTTATCTCTAGTTTTAGATCTACCTTTAACAATTAACTCAGAACTAAAGGGTTTCTACTTATGGGTACATTCAGGCTATGACTAGGCTATTCAGGGTACCTAGCCACCGAGTGCACTCCCCCGCCCTGCCAGAAAACAACAGGAGCTGAGATAGCTTGGACAGATAAAGGGACCGAAGGAAAAAAGAGGGCAGTTTTATTTTTCACCCATGACTTATAGGTTCTATAGGTTCTTAACATTTCAACTAACCACTTCTAAGAATATAGTTTGAGCACATAAATTCCCTTTGCTTAGATATTAACCAAATTTAGCCCCCATTAGTCACTTCCCTTTTGGGTTACAAATGATAGCTGACAATTACTGCTCTTTTGTGTGGGTCGTATTGCCCCTCCTTTTGACACGGAGGGAATTCAAGTCTGGTGACTTTGCCTTAGCCAGAGCGTTGCTATTGCATGGATATATAACTGTAAACCTCAGAGATTTAACTAGACCGGAGGAATAGAAGAGAAAACTAGAAGAACGAGATGGGAGGTGAGGAAGAACAAGATGAGAAAGAAGGAGATGGGAGAGGAGCTAAGATTACGGTAAAGAACTAGATGGATGGGAACCTAGATGGGGCAGAACAAAGAGGAAGGAATTAAGATAGCACATAAAGATAACAGCAAAAATTGTAGAGAGAAACCAGGCAAGAAAGGATCTAAATAATAGAGCAGAATAGAAGCTGTGTAGAGAGAGAATGGACTCAAAGAATAAAGTGAATGGACTGAAGAGTTTCATGTACATAGATTTATTAGAGTATCCCTCAGATTAATCTGCTGCTGGTAGCGTCTCTTCTGGAATTCTGGAAGAAGGCTATGGAGAGGCTGGACCCCAATTGCTTTTGTTAATTCCACCTTGTTTAAAAAACACTTCTTGGAGACCTGTGTGCCTAGGAAAATACAGCAAAATAATTTGAATTTTTAAAGATTATTTTTATTTTATCTATATGAATGTTTTGCCTGTGTGTATGTGAACTACACATGTGCATTGTCCACAAAGACCTGAAGAGGGTGTCCAATCCCATTGAACTAGAGGTACAGACGTTTTTGAGCTGCTTTGTGGTTGCTAGGAATGGAAACGGGGTCTGCTGCAAGAGCACTGAGTGTTATTGACTGCTGAGTTATTTCTCAAGCCCTATATGACATATAAATCTCATTGTAGATTTAAAAAAAGTCTTATGAATGAGAGAAGTCTTCACAAATTACAACAGTGGAAAATTATATATGAAAGCCTATATTATGGCTTAGAAAAAGCTGAACATTTATTTTTCTCTTAAATGCTCATAGTTCTTCTATTTGATATTGAAATATAACAATATTATCTGTTTTCTTAATATTTAATGAGTACTTAAATATTGTTACATTTACATTGCAGTAGAAGCACTTACTCTGGGAGCTAGCACTCAGCTGGCCAGGTGCTCGGGATTGCTGTGGTCTTGATGATGGTTTTGGAGGTAATTCTTTAGCCTGTGAGATACAAGAATAAATATACAAAAATTTTAAAAAATCTTCTTTTACTTATGAGACTAGGATGATTTTACCTCTAATTTTTTTTTTTTTTTGGTTTTTCGAGACAGGGTTTCTCTGTGTAGTTTTGGTGCCTGTCCTGGATCTCGCTCTGTAGACCAGGCTGGCCTCGAACTCACAGAGATCTGCCTGGCTCTGCCTCCCTAGGGCTGGGATTAAAGGCGTGTGCCACCACTGCCCAGCTGTTTTTGTTTTTGTTTTTTTAATATAATTTTTTTTTATTAAAAAAAAGATTTTCTTTCCTTTTACATTCTAACCTGTTTATTGAACAGGTTTCATCCTCTGCATTTATTATCTAGGCTCCCAGAAACTGGTATGTATGGTGCAGGACTGGATGTGAGACTATGCTGTGGGTTGATCTAGTACACTCTTGCACTTAGACCCTCCCCTGACATCTGTGTGTGATCTAGTACACTCCTGCACTTAGCCCCTCCCCTCTGACATCTGTGTGTGATCTAGTACACTCCTGCACTTAGCCCCTCCCCTGACATCTGTGTGTGATCTAGTACACTCCTGCACTTAGCCCCTCTTCTCTGACATCTGTGTGTGATCTAGTACACTCCTGCACCTACCCTCTCCCCTCTGACATCTGTGTGTGGTCTAGTACACTCCTGCAATTAGCCCCTCCCCTCTGACATCTGTGTGTGATCTAGTACACTCCTGCACTTACCCCCTCCCCTCTGACATCTGTGTGTGATCTAGTACATTCCTGCACTTAGCCCCTCCCCTCTGACATCTGTGTGTGATCTAGTACACTCCTGCACTTACCCCCTCCCCTCTGACATCTACGTGTGGTCTGCAGGGGGCTGCAAGTCCAGTGATATGGTCACAGGGAACAGTCAGCAGAGAAAAGCAGTGATAACTTAAACTCTACTTCAATTTCACTCTGTACAACAGAGTTCAATTAGAGACCAAAGGAAGAAAGGCACAGCTAGTATTGATTCTCTAACATTACCAGATTTCATCTTATGAGACATAAAATTATAGAAGGCAAACTATTCTTAAAATATGTACAATGTCAAAACTGTAGGACATTTTTGAGGACTTTACATAAATGAATCATAAAAGAAGCTCAGTATATCAACGGGAACTTGCTATCAGAGATAGTATGTCCTAAGACAGTTCACTGAGAAAAACAGGAAGTCTTTCCATAGTACCTTCCTCTGCTCCCGTGCTACTTTCCTCAAATTGATGCGCTGTCCTTCACTTTCATACTTTTCAGTAAAGGAATCAAGAATTTCATAAAGATCTTCTGCTTGGGCAGGTCGTGGAACATCTCCAAATAAAATGTCATAAGCTCGAATGTCCTGACAGTAAAATCTAGTAAGCACAAAATTAGGAACACTTCAATAACATATACAGATGTACTTTGGAGGTAAATATAGCACATTCACATATATGTGTAACCACTCTTATGAAATACATCAGATACCACAAGACTTAACCTCATGTCTATTCTTAGATTCACCCCAAGTTCACTTTCTAAATCAATGAACATAAATATTGATATGTACTTTTCTTCATACAAAAAGCATGTCAATATACACACAGACACATTTATATAGAAATACATAAACATACAAAGTACACATATTTTTTGTAAGTGTTACCTTTATGTTTTTTCTACAAAATAATTACTATATATGGCTATGTGATTTAAAATGTTTATCAAAATTAAAATTTATCTTTCAAGTTTGAAAGACTTGCAGTTCTTTAAGGGACTATTTATTGTAGATTACCTAAGATTTAGCTGAGCTTTAGGGAGAAGACTGCCAAACACCTAAAATTATGAGTTTCTAAAAGCATTCTCAAATTCATGAAACCATAAATGGACAGACACATCACTCTTGCTTCTTTGGATGAAGACTTTTGAAAACCTTAATTTTCTTCATTCAGACTAGTTCTGTTATATGCAAGATAGCAGCATAATATTATACTCTTGGAAAAATTGGTGTAAACATTCACTCCCTTCAGTGGAATGTCTGTCCTACTGGTAGGGCCCTGTGGGTCACCAAGACATTGGCTCCCTTGGGCTAGTGATTCTGATATCTGTCGGTTTGATTTCTAAGACCCACTTGAGAAAAAAACAAAACTATCCAGACACAAAATTAAAGAAGCTCTGAGATAGCAACAAATATTTTAAAGATCAAATTGGGTTTTGAATCAAAATTGGTATCTATTTTATATGGAAGAATACAAATCCAGTGTGGTGACAGGAAATCTTCCACTGTGAGGCACTTCTAATTAATCCACAGATTATTTGCTGTGCTCACTACAATGTACGATAATGTCATATTGTCACCTAGTTGAATGTTGTCTGGTCATCAACTTATGGTTGTGCTTATTATAATGCTAAGCAAAAAAAAATTTACAATTAATACATGTCATATTATAATCTTATTTAGCAAAAGAAGATTAAGGAAGAAGAGGGGGTAGTTGAAAGTATTAGTAAGAAAACTGTAACATGTTTTATTTTTTTCTAAGTTTTATTTTCACAAGCATATACTACTTTTTAACTTATTTTATTATATTTTATGTCTTTTGTCTGTGTGTATCTATGTGCACCACATGATTACCTGGTGCTCTAAAGGTAAGAAGAAGGAGTTTTATCCCTTGGAACTGGAATTACGGTTGGTGGTTATGAATCAGCATGTGGGTGCTGGGAACAAACCTAGGTCCTCTGTAAGAGCAACGAGTGCCCTTAACTGCTGTGACATCTCCCCAGTTCCAAGCAATACCAATTTCATCTTAAAAGTTTTAAATATAGATCCTGCTGCATTTAAATGATTATATGTGTACTTGTAAACTCCTAAATGATGACAAATTTTGAAGTATTATCTTCTCATCACACATTTTAAAAAATCAATCAAAGTCACACTGCATGAACTTACTTCCGATTAGTTTCTTTCCTTTCAATCAAACAGCTTCCTTCCAGGGAAATGCCAGCAAAGAGGCCCCTGGATTTGCAGTAAGTGAAGACAGCTGCAGAGCTCCTCAGGGACACGTTTCCTTCCAGGTTCCTACAAAAGATGGCAGAACCAGAATGACTGCTCATCACTTGGCCACAAGGCCTGTCTTCCTAGGCCATGTTTTTCTTTGGCTAAGCTAGAGTTTTAATGTGGCTTGAAGAGAAGGCAGCTGTCGGGAGAAGATATCGCATGGAACTGCTGTAGAAGGGCTGGTGGGCCTGGTGGGAATGCACTAGAGAGAGACTTGAGAGCTAGCCCTCTCAACCAGAGGAACATATCCCAAGAGTGCTAAGAGTATGGATTCTTCTTACACAGAACATTTTCAGATGGTTTACTGTTTAATTTATATAAATAAGCATTTCTAATTCTCTAGCATGATTACTAACCCAAGAATAGTTTCATTAACAGGTGAGGAAAATAAAATTACACTGTTATAAACACTCCTCAAAAGATCCAACCATTTCACATTCTAATTATTGAATTTGAGAAAAACCTTTTTTAAAAAATTCTAGAACACCGATGCCCTTTATCAGTTAATAAAAACTGACTACACTTAGCTTCATCAAAACTAGTGTAAATTTTATGTCAATTCAATGTGCATATGAAAAACTTTATTTTTTTCTCATGTGTTCTGGGCTCAGAGTTTATTTTACTCACTGTTTTCTTTTTCTTCTTTCTTTTTATAATTTCTTGTTTAAGAGACCTTTAATCATATGGCAATTGTAGAAATTACATTTGTTCATTTCAATTCACATTTCTTCATAATACAAAAAACTTTTTAAGTCTTTATAGTTTGGTATGTGTTTACTCACCTGCCAAGGGGCCCAACTGCTACAGTAAAATTCCCTCCAAGTGTCAAGTTTCCGCCCTTTGCAAAGGCTTCTACTGCTCTGTCATAATTCAGAATTATCACCAAATCCGATACCTGAAATGTAGAAACCCACTCATTTATAAACAGCCATACTGCCTGATGTAGTGGTGTATATCTTTAATCCTTGCACTTGGGAGGAATAGGCAGGTCTATCTCTGTGTGTTCAAGGCCATCCTGGTCTACATATCAAATTCCAGGCTGCTAGCAAGTCTACTGTCTCAACAAACAAACAAGAGTACCCCCCCACCAATAAAACAGCCACACCTAAATATTGCATAAAATACATGTTGATTTAAATTCAGCTATACCACATATAATGCAAACTTTCAATGTAGATAGCCAGATATGGACGGTGATACCATTATTTTGAATAGATAAGGCCAGCAGCCAGCCTTATACAGATAATTATCTCAAATATTTGTGCGCCATTCAGCCCCTTTATACCTCCTGACAACAGGTAATACAGCTGGTACATCATCAGCTGTACTACCTGCAAACTGTCACATTGATAACCAGAAAAGATCAAATAGGTGAGGACAAAATGTGCTCTGATCTCAAAATAAACTACAAAATATAGTCTCATAGAATGTAGAGCTGGGACGTCACGTCAGGCTTCATCTTGAGATGACTTCTATCCTAACTCCGTGAATGGCTGTACACTTACCACTCAAACACTGCACATTGAGTATTTGCAATGTGTTAGTTGGCTTCCATTAGCAATGTCTAAGGCAGTGACTTATTACTTTCTAAATAATAATAAAAACTAGAATAATATTTAAGTGACTGGTTAGGCCAATACAACATAAAGTTTGTTTTTCAAATTCATAAAGGCCATAGGAAGTCCAAAGTTAGACAAGAAAAAGAGCAGCACCTATCATGTGAGAAGCATCATTGGCGACCACAGTGCTGACCCCCACTTTTCCCTCCTCCTTAGGGGAGGCATATTGATTTGTTACCCTGAAGTCTTAGGACAGAACCCACCTCGCTCAACTGTCATGAGGATCAGATACACACATCATCTGTATCTGTAAAATTGAAGACATAATGACAGGTGCTAAGAAATTGGTCTCAAAGTGGAGACTATTTGGGTATGAACTCCACTAATTCTCAAACGTTGTGTGACCTTGGGGAAATGATGTTGATAGATGCTCAAGCCATCCTCTACTGTCTGAGGAAAAGGAATTATTTGTAAGGCCTATATAGCCACATAATAGTGAAACACAAAGGTCAAGCAGATCCTAAAAGATGCCTTAATTTGGATAGTTCTTTATATTTTTTAAATGTTTTCTAATTAATGTTTCATTTGATATACAGAAAAATCTTGTCATCAAAAACATCCATGATATAAGCAGGTTCTTGATATATGCAGAAAAATCTTCTCAACTCTTGCCAACTGTTAGGTCCAAAATTCCCCACCCCACCCCCAAATAAGGGGAACATTGTACTAAACAGGAGGACTTTGGCCAAGTAAACAGAATGACTATAGCCTAAAGGTGGGGTTTGGTCAAGAAATATCATAAAATCACACTGTGCAACAAACCTCACACAAGAGATTCATTGGGAAAGACACAAGAGAAAAAAGCAGCAGGGGACTGAGCAGAAGACAGGCTTATATAGAGTTTCTTGGGGGAAGGGTTTTCCAGGGTGGAGATGTCCAGAATGGAGTTGGTGGGATTTCAAGTCCTTATTTTGGGGCAAGCTGAGGGATTGGTAGGTTTTCAAAGTCAGGGATTGGTGAATTTTCAAGGTCAGGGATTGTGGATTTTCAAGGTCAGGGATTGGTGAGTTTTGGTGGCTTTTCAAACAGAGAAGTAAGTGTGGACTTTTTACCCTACACTTACAACAGCTCAGAATAGTTAAGTAAGGCAAAGAAGCTCTGAGAGGCCACTTAGGAACAAGGTCAATCTTCTAATTTTCCATCTGCTCTGTATTTGGTTTCTTTGAAGTAAGATGATGCTGTGTTCTTTTTGTGATGCCACTGGTGAAACAGTCAATAACCTGTTTCTATATTTCTATAGCTGAAAATGAAAAGCAGAAAAGTCTTCCTGATGAAGGCTGGGCAGTGAAGCAACACTGAGACAATATAAGATAGCACTGAGAATCTGATATAAGTTTGAATGTTTTGTATAAAAATTTAATTTAAAAAGTACAAGTTTTTCAATTAAATAAATCATTAAACATAAGAGCTAAAAAAATTGATAGTCCCAACAGTAAAATTTGAGGGAAATATTCTGAGATGTCCTTTCTCTGAGCTATTATGGAGAAATCACTTGGGATCTGTGTCACTTCCTGTGGTTGCTAAGGAGGTCTTCCCATAATCTCAAGTCTGACTTGGGGTAACACTTGACAGTTGGCAGCTAACAATCAGTCCCACCTCTCAGCACTGATAAGAAGCCTGGGGTACCCCCCTTTTGGCTCCTGTGGATCATTGAAACATTCCTTCCTGCAGGAAGCTCCTTAAGCAGAAGGTAAACAACTCAAAATAGCTTCAGAAAGTCCCTGAAACTGACTAGATTCATTAGGTTCCTTCCTGACAGAGTAAGTAATAAAAGCTTAAAGTCCATCTCAGATGGAAAGAGGCTTGGCATCAAAGAAGATGCTTGGAGGAGAAAAGCTGCTTTGATGGCTAAAGTTATGTTTTAAGTTTTAATTATGGTGCATAAGAGATCTATAAATAAAAAAAAATGCCTCTAACCTATAAACCCCACTTGCCCAAAAACAGATAACTTCCTGGAATGCTGGGAGTTGTTCATGTAAGAAAACAAGCCATTGTATCACTTTACTGCACAGGATGTGCTTGATCACATGTGGGCGGGAGGTACACAGACAGGAAGAGAAAGGTGGGAGGTACATAGCCTTGTGGGTTTTGCCTTTATATGCCTCTGTTTAATGTAATTTGGGGCCATTCTCTGGGAATTTCAGGTATGGACCTGGCTAGTGTCTACCTTCCTAGCCAGTATTTAATAAAGCCTGCTTCAAATTTGGCTCAAAAAAAAAAATTGTGGTAGTGGTCATATTCTCAACTGGTGGGATTAACACTGCAAAGAAGACACTGAGATCAGCTTCCTAGAAAAAGCTAAAATCAGAAGAGCTGTCTTAAAGAAGTTTAGACCAACTGAGGCACTTGGAAAGGGAACCCTCCAATCTGTTGAGCTGTCTACAGGCTGCAGTGTGCTGCAGGTTTGCAGCTTTGTGAGCTGGCATCCATGCTGGGGTGGACTTTGGTGATATGGCTGTTTTTGAGTCATTTCTACTCCTGTAATAACCCCTTACCCATATTCCTGTAAGTAACCCCAATAAAACTCCATTGGTTCACCAAGTTGGACTTTGGTGGTATCTGTACTTTGGTCTGTTGTGGGTTCCCTATCTGGAGTGAGTAGATGTATATTTCATCTTCCCAGGAAAAGTTGTCACACAATACTCCATATTCATACTTCACATAAGCCAGGCTATCTTTTCTCTCCATTCTCCCTCACCCCGAACCCCTGCTCCCTTGGCTCTGTCTGGAAGTTATGTAACTTCCCTGTTGGTCTTGTTATTATAGGGGTTCATATATCTCTCATACCTAATTCTGAGGCATGGCTCCTCTCACCACACAAATCAGATATAGGGATTATTTCACATCTTCCAGTCCCCACTCAGAAGCTCTGTTTGAGGGTTTGAAGACTAAACTCTCATCTCTGACAATAAAGGCTCAGTAATACTCCCTCTGTAAGAGTCTGAGTTGGTTGGTGCCCCCTCACCTACCAAATTCTAGGGATAGAAATTCAGTAGTCCACTGTGAGCTCTGTCAGATTATTCTAAGATAGGCTAAAAGCAGTGTCATTTTCAGTGCTTTGCACTTTGCTGTAATTTTCCTATAAAGATAATGTTGAATGTATTTAACACAATTCATGGCGTTATTATCTCCTTACACTACTGACTTTCAAAGCTGTACTTCTTAGAACAGTCAGAATGCCCATTAGGAAAACAGTGGGCGGGAATGTTGTCATCTTTGAATAAATGTATGAATGAATGAGCTGTTTTTTTTTTTTTTTTTTCCCTGATCTTTCCATGGACATTTCCAAGACTGCTTCTTCTGAGATAAGGTATTTTCCCTTCTTGAGAGTCTTTTGCCCTATGCCTGTGGTCTGCCTTTGTTACTGCCCTACCTGGATAATCTTATCGTTTCAATTATAAAGACACATCAAACTAAGGAAAAAGAACAACCTGATGACACTATTCCTAAATTCCTTCAGATGTCTGGGTTTCATGGTTTTCTATTTAATGTTTTAACAGGTACTGTAAGTTTTAAAAGGGCCAAAGGAAAAAATATATTAGAGGTTTGACTGGCAAAGGAACCACTATCCCCAAGCCTCATAGAATCATTCATTATATTATCCTGAAACTTGAAGTCTTTGTAAATGGGAGAATACTTACTAAGGTTTCAGGTTGTCTGTCCCCATCTGCAGACAAACACAAACTGGTTATGGATATGTATGTAAATGGGTTCAGTCTTATAAAGAAATAAATGTCTTTTGGGTATGAATAATACTGACAAATTGTCATATGCTGTTTTAGCTCACTGAAAAGCTGGTTCTGGAGATAGATTTGGCTCACTCACTTCAGACCCAAGCATGTTTGCCTCAAAATTTCCTCCAAAGACTTTGTTCTGGATCAGGTTGGCCCCTTGACTCTTTGACAGGGAGAACAGAACAGCCCAAGAAAAAGACATTGTGTACTCGAGAATAGCTAAGAGATAAACTATTTGTAGATTGAGGTTACTATAATTTATCTCAAGGCATAAAGGTGCCTATGATAATGGGATGCTCATACATGGAAAGGATAAAAGGAACTCTCTTCTAAAATCTTTCAAAAATAACTTCAGCATCACAGTCAGCTAAATTCTCTTGCATGCTATAAAATTAATTTAACCTACATGCTGTATAAATCATAAAAATCATCTTACATTTTTGCTAAGGTTTACTTGGAAACTTAAAAGGCCTAATGGTTTATCAGTATGTACACAGGCAATATTAATTTATTACATTATTCTTGTAATAAATAAATCTATAATGCCTCAATCTTCTTTTATTAAAACGATATTGTGTAATGTCTTCTGAGCTGAACAACTGCCTGCTTAAAATAATCACAGCTAGGCTTTTTTAAATGTTCATATTGCTTCAGGAAAGGAGAAGATAGACGTCACTGGACCCTCACATTAGTATCACATTAGGTTAATCCTGCTAGTTGATTGGTATAGAGTCTGCATCCCAGTTCAACTGGCCATGCCTTTTACCCTGGACTTCAATTCTCCTCCTAACAAAGCTAACTGCAAGAAGGACTTCCCCACTCACAGCAAGAGGAATCAGGCTTTCCATTTCCCAGCTTAGAATTCCTGGGGAACCTTTAATTATTTTGTTGTCTATATTTTAGGGCCTCTGTTTCAAAATTATTTTAAAAAAAGCACTAAAAATACTAAAAATAGTACTTAACATGAAATAAGTAACTAGATAATAATTCAAAACCACATTTAAAAAATTAATAATTATCTTTCCTGCATATTAATAAAATAAATTCCAAAACTAATTTTATACCACCATGAATATAAGCTTTATGATCCAAACTTCATAAATGGTAAAAATTTTAAAAGAAAAAAATTATAGCTTATATCATTCCAAGAGCTTTTTATGCATACATCAGTCTTTTTGATCATCAATATGAGCTCAAGGGAAGGCCATTTCATCCCTATGTTATAGATGAAGAAAACAGCATCCATAAAGGAAAAGTGGCCTTAAACATCACACAGCAAGAGGGTACTCTAGCCAGAATGTGAGCCAGCACCACCCTCCCCAATAGTGTAGTCCAACCACTAACCCATGTTGCTTTTGAAAATATACAGTAAAGTATTTTAATAAAATGTTTGTTTAATATCTTTATGTTTCATTACATTTTTTCAAGACCATTAAAATGGAAAAAAAATCCCCAATCTCCAAAGTATGATCTTGGAACTCTCCTTTTTGGTCTTAGTCTTTTGAAATTTAAGCTACTTGTTATTACTTAATCTCTCAATATGTTCAAAACAAATGGCACTTGACCTGATGCTCAAAGAAGGCTCATATGGAGTTGTAGTGATAAGAGGGCATAGGGTCTATAGAAAGGTTAAGAGACTGTAAAAAAGCATTGGGAGTTGTGGAAAGAGAAGGGAATTGTTGAAATGAGCAGATAGAGCTAAAGGAAGAGGGCTGGGGACATTGGACTAGAAGTCTAGGTAGCATATCTACAGAAAGGAAACTACCAGAAGGCACTGAAGGCCAGAGCTGCTGGGAATACCACTTCCAAGATTCCAAAATGGATTCTACTGTACACAACGCAGATGAAATATTGAGGAACATTACTGAAATGCTTTGTGTTTATGTTGTCTTGAAATTAGACAACAGTTAATATATAAGGCTGAGAGAAGAGACAAGGAGAGGAGAGAGAGAAGGAAACAATTCTCACAGGTATAAGAAAGCAAAGCAAGGGCACTAAGAAGTCTTAGTTCTATCATGCCAGTTTGGGGTAACTTTAGGGACTGTGGCAATGGCATAGGCAGTCCACTTACCTCTATTCCTATTTCAAATCCTCCACCAAGCCCAGCTATCCCAATGGCTGAAGGTGCAGACCATTCTGATAAAAACAAACAAAAACATTGTAACCTATAAAATGTCTTTCATATGAAGAAAATAATATTTTTTTCAAAAGACTCATGTATCTTATACTTTAAAATATTTTAAAAGTTAAAGGTTTTTTTTAAAGACATTAAATATTAACCAAGAGTGTCATACTCACAAATTCATGTGACCCATGCTCTCCCTAATAGCTCATATAAACTAAACTATGATCTTATTATCCACTTAATATATACAATATCTGATAATTTCAACTATCTATCTATCTATCTATCTATCTATCTATCTATCTATCTATCTACCTACCTACCTACCTATCTATCTACATATATATATATATTGGTTTTCCAAGGCAAGGTTTTTCTGTGTAGCTTTGTGCCTTTCCTAGAATTCACTCTAGCCCAGGCTGGCCTCGAACTCACAGAGATCCGCCTGCCTCTGCCTCCTGAGTGCTGGGATTAAAGGCGTGCACCACCATTGTCCAGCTAACTATCAATATTTTTAAAACTTAGCTGCCTAGGTTTGGGCTGATAGACCCCAGACTCAGGGCACTACCCTCTCAGGTGGGTGCCCCAGAAACCCAGATTCCAGACCAGTTGATGCAATCAGCAAGAGGCTTTATTTGATCGTTTGTGCAAATGGGCCCTCTGCACTATTCAGTGAGAGGAGCCCCAAACAATAATTGCAGGCATCTTTTAAAGGCAAAAACCACAAAATTAGCATAGCATTTGGGGCAATACATAATTGGCTAGTTTAAAGATCAGCACCGGGGAGGGGGAGTACAGCTATGGGGACTTTCCATGGGGGCTGCTTTTCTTCCTAGAATAGCCACAGGATGTTCTGCTAGACCCAGATAATGTCACAAGATTATTCTGCTGAGGCTACAGGATATCACAAGAATATTTCTGCTGAGGCTAACAGTTTGGGGGCCTGGGACTGGTATTCATTCCTCTTCCTAATGTTCTGCTGAGGCTAAGGGTTTGGGGGCCTGGGACTGGTACTCATTCCTCTTTCTCATGTTTAACTCTTTCTGGGCCACAATTGTATCACAGACATAATAGATCAAGATTCAAGCCGGGTGGTGGTGGTGGCGGTGGCGGCGGCGGCGGGCGGCGGCGGCGGCGGCGGCGCACGCCTTTAATCCCAGCACTCGGGAGGCAGAGCCAGGTGGATCTCTGTGAGTTCGAGGCCAGCCTGGGCTACCAAGTGAGTTCCAGGAAAAGGCGCAAAGCTACACAGAGAAACCCTGTCTCGAAAAACCAAAAAAAAAAAAAAAAAAAAAAGATTCAAGAGTCTGTTTCAATCACTAACAGAGATGGGTAACATAATTCTAATTTGTTGCCATCACAAATAGTTTTGGCTCTTTTGTGCAAAAGAAGTTTCCTTTATAATTGTAAACTAAGCACAATAATTCTATTTGGAATTTTAGGATTGATGTGTACTTACTTTTTCTGCATAGAAACAAATCTAGAAAAACTATTTTTAGCTTGGTATTGAGAGTCTTTATCTATAAATGATACTTCTATGCTGACCTTCCTTTGCTAGGGAACACATGCTAGACAACTGTTACTGATGGATACATCTAGAATTAACCTGCCAGTCTTGGAAGAGTTTTGATTACAGGATTCAGTGCCTGAAACTCCCAAAGCTGCTTTTCACTCCTATGCTAAGAAATGCCTACTTGCTGGCAGCCAGTAGACATGTCAGAGGAACAGCAGATGGCAATTGAAGTTCGAGATGTCAGTCCACCAAGAAGAAAAGCTCTGAGGGATCAATCTCATTTAGGCAGATCCAGGAGACTACAGACTCTCAAAATATCTTTTGCTTCTGTTGTATCTGTACATGCTTTTCTCTGGTATCTGATATGATGTACATATATGTGGGGGAGTCCCCTACTACCGGTATTGTAGTGTGTTTATGTCATGAAAACACCCCAATCTACTGGGCATTTATATCTGTGGATTGTCAAGAAAGATGATTCCTCCTTAAGCTGTATAATTTTAATAAATAAAAATGAATATACGGATATGCTACACAGTTGGTCTATGAGTTCCCCCTAGAAGCTGATTCTGATCACAGCTTAAATTAATGATTAACTGGGAACCAGAATGACTCAAATTCCTTTAATTTTATGGTTGAGTACCACTAGCTGATACAAAGCTTCAAAATAGCTTTAGATTAGATCAGATGCCTTGCTCATGGTTTTTAGGATAAACATTCCCAATCTTTAGTTCACAAGGACACACAGCTGTACTGCCTGGCAAGGTTGTAAATACAAAAACAGCCCAATTATTGCTATCTGGCAAATGATTAATTCCTTGCACCCATTCCTAACCTCAATTTGTGAAAATAAAGTCTGACTAGTCAAGGCTACAGAAAATAATTTGACTCTTTAGCCCCAAATGAAGGCTGCAGATATTCTTGGATAATCAAAAGTTACACAAAGGGCAGAAAATACACTTTGAGTTTTAGGCGTTTTGGTCATAGTATCTGGAAAGTGCCAACTGAGCTCATATTAAAAGATATATATGGTAACCTAGCTTGAATCAGATAAGCTGCTACACCCTTAGCTCTCTTTGTCTGAAAACCCAGCTCTCACCAGGAATCTCAGAGACCTAAAGAGAATTGACATTTATGATTCCTGATTACAGAGTATTAGCTAAAAATGTCTATATAGTCATGAGTTAGTTGAACTGCCTTTCCATTGCCTGGAAATAACTAAGGCATCAGGGCAAAAGTGGCCATTACACTCCAAGCATAGGTTATAAACACACAATCTTCTCATTCTCCGGGCTTTTCAATAGTTTAGGTTTATGATTCCTTTGAAATTCCTTATACGATTACCTCTCAAGATAGATAATAAAGTAAATGATTCTTTATAATTACAATTTACAGCCTGTCAATTAAAAGAGTTGGCTGAGAAAATATGCTCCTTATTTGCTCATGACAGGCTACTTTGATATATTTATATTGCATGAGAGTTGTCAGGATGTCTGTTTTTAGTCATGTCTTTATCTAGGAATGCAACTTTTTATGACTCTTAATATTGCCTGAAAGATTTTGTTGGGGTATATATATCAATGTGAAAGAGAGAATGAGAGAAAGAATAAAGAATGAAATGATCAAGAGACTGAGTGTCTTTTTTTCCCTAACCTCTCAGATAAAAAGTTGTAGTTTACACCAACCCCGGGGATTTCTTCCAAAACCTGTGCTGCCTTAGGGCTTCAATTCCTACCCTCCATGCCTGTTCTCTGGGATCAGGAACTTCCCTTGCCTTATTTGGGAAGCCTTTTTCCCCCCAGCAGGCTTATAGCTGCTGTTCTGGAAGATGGGGGAAAGAAACTTAAGTTTCTGAAAATAATAGAAAAATGTAGTGTGGTTGAGAACAGGGGTGGAGAGGTTGGTAGAGACAGACCCTCACCTTTAAGCTACAAGTTGTCAGCAGACAGCAGACAAATCTGCAGAGCATTCCTGTGGAGACTAGCCCTTCTCTAACAGGGATCCTCTCGGAAGATGCCAAATCTGTGTTTGGTGTCACTGCTGAGACTTCTACCCTTGAGCATTTGGGCAATATTTCAAAAAAAGCTTCATATTTTCCAATTTTTAAAGATTTAGGATTTTTATTATTTTAAAATGTGAAGTAGTTACATGTTAAGACTTTTTATTAAAGGACTAGGGAAGGAAAAGTGACTGGTGGATACAGTGCTGGAGTTATAATATACCCAATACCAAAGGCAACCTTGAACTATAAAAAGTAGAGCCACAACTGTAGGAAGAGAACTGTACTGTCTATGGAGAAACAATGAATCCAAACCAGGGACAAAGGACATGTTTATCAATACCTGTGTTTCTTATCTGAAAGTATAAATGATTTCTGTCCAAACAGTTACTGACAGAACACAATGTGTTCCCTCATAAGAAGAACAACACAGGTCAAACTGAAAAGGTACTTTAGTTCGTTCTGACATGTAACTACGTTTTAAATACTACTATAAGGATTCTTAGCAAATGCATTTTGAATTTGTCTCTGAAAAACCAAACAACAGCTTTTAGTACAGTAAAGTTATAATGCTCTCAACATGATTCTACTGGCAGGAAGAGGCAGGTCTTCAAATGTCACTATCTTCAAGAGAAACAAAGAAGTTTACAGATTACAACCATAAACAGAAGAAACTGGCTTTCCCACAGAACTGAGGAATAATAACTCACATTCAACAAGAGAAATGTGTGTAGTATGTTCAAGAAAGTGTTCCATAGAAGGCCTACAAAGTGTAATATAACATAGTCAGATATACCTTGAATCCTATCTAGTAATAATCTAAGGCTAGGTTTCCTGCTTGCTTCCTAAAACACACTACACGTTTCCAGAAGAAACACACAGCAGATTAGCAGGTCATACTCCCTATGAAGACATCAATGACAGATGCAGAACACAGAAGATTTAAGGTCTCTACAAGTATCAACTTACTTCCATCTGGAAGACGTGCCAGGACAATGCCACTGCCTCCCCTGGCTGTCACCAGAAATCCAGCTTTAATCACAGACAAAACTGCAAGTCCTTTTGCTTTTGCAATAACATGGGCTGCAAACAAACAAAATAGCAATGACTAAAAGGCAGCTTGTGATAGAGCTTTGATTTTAAAAATATATAGCTGAATTCATTATTAATATGAAATTTTGTATTTGACAACAAAATTAAGTGATTTGCCATTTCAAAAGGTTTTCTTTTTAAACTCATGGTCTGTTTGAACTACCACTTTATATTGAAATTCTAATTCTGTTTACAATACTAGTTTACTCACATTTCAGAGTTCATTACATAAAATGAGAGTTTTAAGTGCATATATCCACTAAAGGTACAACCTCACCACTATTCACTCTGTTTACTTGCAAGGGAAGATTTGAGTTTGATGAGCTACATTAGCATATTGTGAACACAGGAATTCAGCACTTGTTATGCATCATTTCAGGAGTTACTGCTATTGTTGATGAGAGCTTTGGACATAAAATAATAGTGTCATTTAGAAGAACAGGAAGGCAGTTAGGGAATTCATCAGAATTATGGACCAAATTCTCTTTGGTGCCTTTTGCTTATATGAAAAATATTGTTACTTATAAATACAATTTCCCTATTTGCAAGAAACATTGTGAAGTGCTTTAAAAAGCTTACATCATAAAAATTTATTTGAGAGGTTAGCTAGTGAGTTTTGAAAATCTGTTTGCAAATTCCCCCAATATTGATTTTAAAAGAACAGAGAGTTTAAAAAGCTGAAAGGAGCAGAGACTCAAGGGTTTAGGCTGGTACCTCTAAGTGGAGGGAAGCAAAGTGAGAGACAAATTTTTCTTCTGATTGGCTCTGGTCTTTGTCTATCTACTAGAAGATTGCCTACAAAGTGCTGCCCCTCTGAGGTCTGATACTAGGGTGGTCTAAATGCTTGCTTGTTTCCATAGGACATTTATGGAGAAATGCTAAGGAATGTAGAAAGCAATGTGGAAAACAAACGTATTTAGACATTTACCTACCAGGAATGATCTTATCAGGTCCATTTCTGGAAGTTATTTCTGTGAATTCTCTTAATATTTTGGCAGCCTTCTTTGCTTCTGATTTCAGATTGGAAGGTATAGGGTTATTCACTGAAAAATTAAAAACATACTGTAGTGGGAAAAGAAATCTAGTTTCAGAATCTATTTCAGTTTCATTCTTCTCTCATACAATTAAGCATTTAAAGTCAAATGTTAGCAAAGGGAATGACTTCCAGTCCTCATTTATTGATTACCTCATCTCTGTTTTCTTACGTTGTGAAATCTTGCAGATGGCTAACTCTGAACACTCAAACTCTCACCAATTATGAAAACATGGAATCTTGGGATCCTAGGTGAAAGCTGGTTGGCCTTCTCTCCTCACTAAGTATCTCCTCATTAGTTAAATCACCTTAGTTTTAATTAAAAAAAAACTGAATTTGAGGATTAACAAAAGATGCACTTCATAGCTGTCTTTAATGGATGTAAAATTTGATACAGTTGGCTTTTCTTGTCAGAAATTTTGGAGATGGCTGGCCGTCACAAGTAAAATTTTGGTATGCCCAGAAACTGAGTTAGTAAGTCCAGCAATATATGCTTGCTCTTACATAACATTTTATATTCCCAGTGTAAATATTTCTTTGTCATAATAGAATGCATGCAACTCTTGAACTCCACAGCATGTTGGAGAAGGTGGACCATTATCTTGCCTTTGGAGAAGCAAACATAAGAATGGACAAAGTCCAAGTGAGTTCACCGGCTATTGTACTCATCTGATTGATTGTCTGTAATCAAGTATTTCATCAAGTATTTCAGATGGAAAATGCTGATGATATCAATACCACCATTTCACCTGGTGATGCAAGTACACTAGAAATAGAAGGAATGACCAAGTAATACAGGAGGAAAGCCTTTTATTTAGCAAAGTACAGAGCTATCTAATAAAATAATACAGATGCACTTTGGCAGCTGGTGTTTGAAATATGTAATTTATTTTAATAGTAGAAACTGAACTAGAGTCATGGCAGAGCCTTGTTTGTTTTACTTAGAAGGTATCAGTTTGGTTCTCTGTGGCCCAGTACAGAAGCATTAGTAAGAATAAAGCTATGGGAAAGTCCATCCCACAAATCATCAGGTACATTTCCAGTTTATGAAAACAAAATGAAATGTATATACTGTATATTGTATTCCTTTTCCATCCGCATCCTAACAGTATGTATTTTTTTACTCAGTTTTATTTCAGAACATTTAAATATTCATTTTCCAAATTTACCTGTCTTGCTGATGCAGTTTGTACAACAGTCCCATCTCCTTTAAACATTTCTAGTTTGCCCATCTGCAACATCAAACTAATTTGTTACTCTCTATCAGTTTTGTCTGTGTTTGAATTTCACATAAGTGAAAGTAAAAAGAGCTCAACCTTTCCTAACTACCATACACCACAAAATAAGTGGGAATCATGTACGTTGGGCAGAGATCAGAAATTTATCTTTTTTTCTCCTGTCAGGCTGTATTTTTATATGTGAAAACACAATTTAGTCTTTTATCTTCTTTTTTGTTTTTTAAACAAACAGTTATGTTGTTTTCAGCTTGGGGTTATTCCAAACTAAACTGCTATAAATATTCCCATGATGGCTTCTTATGCAGAAATGTTTTAATTCCTTTGGATAAATATCAACAATAGAAATTGCTAGTTCATAATAATAAATGTATGGCTAATTATATGTTTCCAAAGAGTCATCTGAAGTGGCATTTTATACTTCCACTAGAAATTCCTGAGACTTTTTGCTACTTCATAACTTCAGCAAGCACACAGTATAGATAGTCTTTTAAATGTTATTTGAGTGGTTTTTCAAATTGATTTTTCACATTCCTGGCAAAGTTGCAAACTTTACTTTGTTTATTTCTGTTTCTCTCCCATGCCCTTTTATTGAAAATAGATTCTTTACTTACATAATATATCCTGATTGAGGTTTCCCCTCCTTCTACTCCTCCCAGTACCTCCCCACTCCCTTCCCATCCAGATCCATTCCCTTTCTTCCTCTCATTAGAAAGAAACGGGCTTCTAAGTAGTAATAAATTATAACAAAATGTAAGATAAAACTAAAACTATCACATTGGAGCTGGACAAGACAAACAAACAGAAGGAAAAGAGTCCAAGAGAAGACACAAGAATCAGAGACTCATTTGTTCATACACTCAGGAATCCCACAAAAATACTAAACTGGAAGCTATAATATATACACAGAGGACCTGGTGCAGAACCATGCAGGCCCTATGCATGCTGCCCCAGTCTCTATGAGTTTGTATGTGTTTTGATCATGTTGATTTATTTAGAGGGCCTTGTTTTCTTGGTGACCTCCATCCTCTCTGTCTCTTATAGTCTTTCCACCACCTCTTCCTTGAGATTTCCTGATGCCTGAGTAGAGTGGTTTGAAACATCCCATTTAGGGCTGAGTGTTCCAAGGTCTCTGACTATCTGCATAATGTCTGTCTTTAGGTTTCTATATTTGTTCCCATCTGCTACAGGAGAAAGTTTCTCTGATGACAACTGAGCAAGGCACTGATCTATGAGTACAGCAGAATGTCATTAGGAGTCATCTCCTTGCTACTTTCTAGGTTCTGGTTCTTAGTCACCCAGGCAGTGTTGGGTATGGGTTCAATCTCATGGAGTGGGCCTTAAGTCAAATCAGATATTGTTTGGTTAGTCTTACAAGCTTTGTGGCACCACACTGCCCTAGCACACTTGTAGGCAGGACATCATTGTAGATAAAAGGGTTTGTAGCTGGCTTGGAGTTTGTGTTTCTCTTTGGCAGTATGCAGAATACCTTCCTGTATTAAAGATGCTAGAACATAGGAGTGAAGGCTCTATGTAGGCACCAGCTCAATTACTCCAAGTTCAATGAGTTGCATAGGTATTGTCTTTAACAATGGGGTCTTGCTGTCAGTGTGGAGAGTAACCTATTGTCTTTGCAGCAGCCTGGGTATTTAGGGATTGCCATGAGACCTCTTTGGCCAACAACTCAATTAGATATAACTGAATATTAGTACTAGAAACCTCATTTAGTGACAAGAGATGATCAATTGTGATTCTGTCCCCCACCCCCATCATTTGTAGACTGCATTTAGATTGCCTTCATATAGGTATATATTTTAGGAAGCTTCATTGTATTAGGTTTCCATACTACCTCTCAAATAGCCCTCCCCATATTCCCTCCCTTGTCCCCTTTCCATCCTCAACTGATCCTCCTGTTCTAGCCCTGCCCCATCCACCCATAACTATTCTATTCTCCTTTCTTAATGAGATCTATCTGTACCCTTGAGACCCTTATTCTATACCTACCCTTGGTAGTGCTACAGATTGTAGCTTGGTTATCATTGACTTAAGAACTAATATCCACATGTTGAGATAACATACCATATTTGTTTTTCTGGGTCTGGGATACCTCACTCAGGATGATTTTTTTCTTGTTCCATCCATTTACCTGCAAATTTCACGATGTCATTTTTTTTTAAACAGCTGAGTAATACTTCATTGTGTACCACATTTTCTTTATTCGTTCTCTTGTTGAAGGACATCTAGGTTGTTTCAAATTTTTAGTTATTATAAATAGAACAGCAGTGAACATGGTTGAGCAAGTTTCTTTGTGATAGAATGAAGCATCCTTGGGGAGTATAGCTGAATCTTGAGGTAGACTGATTCCCATCTCCCTGAGGAACTGCCACAGTGATTTCCACAGTGGCTGTACAAGTTTGCACTCCCACCAGCAATGGATGATTGCTCCCCTTGCTCCACATCCTCATTGAATGAACTGTCACTGTTTTAATGATCTTAGCCATTCTGATAGGCTTAAAATAAAATCTCAAAGTAGTTTTGATTTACATTTCCCTGATGTCTAAAGATTTTGAACATTTCTTTAAGTGTTTCTCAGACATTTGAATTTTCTCCACTAAGAATTCTATTTAGATCTGTACCCCATTTTTAATTGGATTATTTGTTTTCTTAATATCTAGTTTTTGAGTTCTTTATGTATTTTGGATATTAGCCTTCTATAGGATGTGAAGTTAGTTAAAAACTTTTCCCATTCTGTATGCTGCTACTTTATATGAATGACAGTGGCCTTTGCCGTGCAGACGCTTCTCAGTTTCATGAGGTTTCATTTATTAATTGTTGATATTAGTGCCTGTGGTAAGAGTATTCTGTACAGAAAGTCATTTCCTGTGTCAATAAGTCCAAGGGAATTCCCTACTTTCTCTTCTACGAGGTACAGTGTATCTTGTTTTATGTTGAGTTTTGCATAAGGTGATAAGTATGGATCTGTTTGTATTCTACATTCAGACATCCAGTTTGACAAGCACCCTTTGTTGAAGATGCTGTCTTTTTTCTAGTACATATTTATGGCTTCTTTTTCAAAAATTAGGTGTCCATAGGTGTGAAGATTTATGTCTTGGTCTTCAGTTTGATTCCATTGATCAATGTGTATATTTTTGTGCCAATACCATGTTGTTTTTATTACTACTGCTTTGTAGGACAATTTGAAATTGGGAATAGTGATACTTTCTGCATTGCTTTTATTATTCAGGATTGTTTTAGCTATCCTGGGTTTTTGTTTTCTTCATATGAATTTTTTATTGTTCTAGCTAAGACGTCAAGTACTTTATTGAATAGGTATATAGAGAGTGGACAACCTTGTCTTGTACCTGAATTTCTCTCCACTTAAGTTGATAGTGGCTTTGTAAACTTTCTGTTGTTGATATCTAGCTTTAATCTGTGGTAGTCTAATAGGATGCAGGGAGTTATTTAAATTTTCTTGTATCCATTGAGACTTGCTTTGTGTCTGAGTATATGGTCAATTTTGGAGGAAGTTTGATGAGGTGTTGAGAAGATGGTATATTCTTTTGTGTTTGGGTAAAATGTTTTGTAAATATATGTTAGGTTCATTTGGTTTATAAGGTCTGTTAGATCTAGTATTTCTGTTTAGTTTTTGTCCAGATGACCTGTTTGTTGGTGAGACTGGGGCACTGAAGTCTCTCACTGTCTTAGGGTTTTTATTACTGTGAAGAAACCCATGATTATGCAACTCTTATGAATGAAAACACTTGGGTGATTTGCT